TTATGATGGATTGAACTGCAAAATCGTGCACGGAGGACAGCTGACAGACTCGTTCAAGGTGAAGACCGGGGTCACACTTTCTCTTTCTCCCGGTGATCGACTGGATTATGAAGTCGAAATCTGAGAGGAAGCACGGAATGCAGTGGACAACCAGGATGCAGCTGGACGATCTGGACATCGTTGATGATCTGGCTCTTCTATCGCACACACAACAACAAATACAAGAGAAGACGATCGGTGTAGTAGTAGTCTCAGCAGCAGCGGGTCTCAACATACATAAAGGGAAAAGCAAGATTCTCCGAGACAACACAACAAGAGCCATGAATACCTCTCAATTCGGTATTTTATGTACATCTTTTGATCGATTCGATTTCAAGATCGAATCTGTAGGCGAACTAACAAAAGAACAGAGCTCCAGACGATTGTTATACCTTTGGTGTATTCATTCCACAATAGCAACTTGTGACTTATACAACTGATATTTAAAAATATTATTTTTCCTTTAAATACTTCAGTTTCATGAACTACTCGATATTCCACAATTAGAAAAAGGTGAAGCGCTAACTTTAAGTCGATGTGTTGAACACTTCAATCAAATTACACGTTGGGCTAAAGGTATGCTATTTATATTGGCGCCTAAATTAATTGAAAAATATTCTACATTGAATTCGTCGATTCATCAAACAAAATCTGTTAGTAGAAAATCATTATTTGATAATTTTCGTAAATGTCATACATCAACTTCTGAGTCAACTGTTACGAATAAAAAAAGCCAAAATAAATTGAACGTTGAACGTACTGATGATGATTTGCATTCTGATTTGGAGCTAACAAATGATGACCATACGATGAATGAGAATTTCGTCAAAAAATCAAATTCATTACATCGTGATTTCAATCTATTATCAACACAACATAAACGTATTTCAATGAAAAAAATTGATTCGGTCAATGTGATGTTATTGAAAATATGTGAAATTCTTAAGGTGAGTTATTGTTTTGAATTAGATAAAGTTTTATTTTTGTAACCATGAATTGATCAATGTTAGATCACCATTAGAAACCTGGAAGCACTGGACGGCCGTTTCGTCCTGGTATTAGACTCATCAGTGGCAGTGCGCATCCACGACTCCTTCACCCCGCAGGATTCGAACCCAGGACCCGCAGTGTTGTGCGCGAACGCCCTAACCGTTAGACCAATGAGCCGGTTTCTAATGGCGTTAATGTCTAACTTGATCAAATTCACGGAGTTGCGCAAACTCATACACTGTATACATTCGAACAGGTTTGAACTTCATTGGTCACGACTTCCCACTAGAACTCGGAGAAGATTCCTCACCAAGCTAGTCACTAGTGGACACATGTAATTGCATTGCGGGGTTGTTGTGAAGATTGTTAAGTTCTATTTGCACTGCTGATGAATCCCATACCAGGACGAAACGGCCGTCCAGTGCTTCCAGGTTTCTAATGGTGGTCAAACATTGATCGATTCATGGTTTGATGATGTATCAGGAGAATTTTAAGAGTTTGTGCCGTCTTGTAGTTGGTTGGCATATAAACGTTTCAGTAAGTATTATTGGTGTTACTATTTTGTGATAGTGGCTAGCGCTGAAAATGTATAAGCCTCCAGAACAACTAATAACTGTCTTACTTGTGAAATCATTCGACAGGCATCGTGACTAAGTAGCTCAGTTGGTAGTAACCTGATAATACTTACTTATTGTTACACCCCAAATGGAGAATAGGCTGCCGACCTGAGGATTATTTTTCTGGTGTTACACACGCAAGTCAACACGTCATTTGATATGCTTGAACTATTACGAGTTCACCTTACTTAGTAAACGAGAGTGAGACAATGATCCAGTGACACGATGGGCTACTTTGATTCATTGCCCAGTCTAACTGAAGAAGAAGTCTTGATATGGCGTAGAACGTGTATTCTACAAGCATCCAGATAGTATGACGTCTGAGTCCAGTAGAGGATAAGGATCCGGACTAAGGATCCGGGCCATAAAACGTCACAGATAATGCGTAATAATGCAGTTAGGTCGAATGGGAAATCACATTGAAGTATGTGACATTGATAGTTAGGAAGACCAATAGGAATTATCCAACAGGAATTGACCAATAGAGTTAGACTTATAAATAATTCTTTTAGGATATTGAATAAATATCCTAACATATGGTTAGCGTTTTTTAGCGAGTTGGATTTCTACAGGATGGGCTTGCTAAGCCGACGTCCAACCCTCCTCCCTTATCCTCCGGACTTAAGAACGGCAGAAACCCTAGATGGTCTCCAGGCGGAGTTAACCTAACAATAGTATTTGCATATTAAATTACTAACTTAACGTAGCCGTATAAATAGATAAACCATGATGACATCTCGAATGAATGTTTCGATGAGAATAAGTCATCTGCTAATTCAGTGGAAGAGAATTGATTTCCTACATTATCTGGAAGTGTTTCAAGAGAATATTTATTTGTTAACATTATTTATGTTTCTGATTAACACGACTGTCCCTAAATGAAGCACTAATATGTTTAATTCTAGAAAGAATTATCGAAAATATTTCATACTGGATAGTTATCACACATCGAAGTCCTCAATTAAACCTTGTTAGATCACCTGTCAAAATCTGAGAGCTCTGGACGGCCATTTCGTTCTGGTCTGGGGGTAAGGCGTTCGCACGCAATGGTCTTAGGTTCGAATCCTGCGGTAGCAGGAGTCGTGGATGCGCACTACCATTTACAAAACAAACTTCAGGATAAACTGTTTGTAGACATGAGACATGCTTACTAGACAAGAATGGCAGATCAATAGATGAAGTAGTGAAACTTCATCAGTTGAGGTGGTTGGGACATGTGTTACGAATGCCTAACCACTGACTGCCTCGACGGGCGATGTTTTGTGGTGTAGGAGGAGATTGGAAGAAAGTTAGGTACGGCCAAATCAAAACATGACACAAATACATTAGGTCACTGACAAGTGAACTTAGTTATGTTGGTAGATGTAGGCTCTCTGGTTGGAGTCAGCGAGACGAGTCACAGATGATTAGAGGCCTTAAGCGACATGCTCCAACATTGTTTGCAATGGCACTAGTGCATTCATTCTTTGTGTTCTCTCAAATTCTAATCTTCAGAATTCCTTATCTTCTCTACCTTTCTCCTCCTACATTTTTCTTACTGAATTATACTTCTTGAATAATATCTTCGATCCCTCATATTCTCCCTTCCCGCTAATTCTTCTACTATCCCCACCACTATGCGATTTGAACTGACTACTGCGTCTCTGTGCTGATGCGGTATGCCAACCTGAACTGTGATATACATACATACGAAATTCTACACTGTAACTGACTAACTGAGAAACAATGCCTAGTCAACTAGTTCACGTAAATTGACTACTTTATGACCGTCATATTACTTTGTCATGAGTTCATTATTTTGAATGATGATATCCTGCTTTCATTTTGTTTTAATTTTTTAAACTAATTTCCCTTTTTTTAAAACAAATTTTTTGCCATTTTACAGACATTTTTACATTGTTTCATTCAAAAACTAACACAGTTTTGTTTGAAACATTTAAAAAAACAAGCCGTTTTGTGATTCAATCCGACCCATTTTTTCAGTGTGTTGTTGGTTTTTTTTGTTTTCGGTTTGAATTTATTAGAATAATGTTAATTAACACAAAATATTCTTGTTTAAATTATGTCCAATCTTATCTAGTTTATTTTGAGTCTTATTTTCAAATTGCCATGCTTTTTATGATCGATCGAGGTGTAATCAATATTTATTGTAACAGTTGACTTTCATATAAATATTGAGGGCAACGGTAACTATCACCAAATTAAAGGTGTTTAATTATGGATGCGTTTAAATTCAAGAGAATACACCATTGATTATCTGCCATTAGTTTCAAGTGTAGAAATATCTATATCAAAACACATCAGGATAAAATCGACTTTCCGTAATCTGTTACATACTTACTTACTTACTTACATACTTTACGCCTGTTACCCTCAATAGAGCATAGGCCGCCGACCAGTATTCTCCAGCCAACTCTGTCCTGGGCTCTCCTTTCTCGTTTTTTCCAATTTTCGTTCATTATTCTCTATTTTCCGGCCTAATGTGTTTCATGGCCTTCCTATTTTTCTTTGAACTTGAGGGTTCCAAGTGAGGGCCTGTCTCGCGATGCGATAGGGTGCTTTTCACAGTGTGTGTCCTATCCTCTTTCACCGCTTCTTCTTGATTTCTCCCTCCACTGGAATCTGGTTTGTTCTCTTTCACAGTAGGTTATTGCTGATGATGTCTGGCCAACGAATTCGTAGTATTTTGCATAAACAATTGTTACATACATTGTACAAAATGATTTTTTTTTTGAGTTACATATTTTGTCACAAATAATTTAGGCATAATTTGTAGATTTTATTCGTTACAAATCAAGGCTCACTGAGCAAATGTTTCGTCATACTATGAGAGTTATCATCAGTGAACACATGTGATCTCATCAAGGATCCATTCCAGCATTTTGAAAACTTGTAATGAACACATAGCTATTCGAACCTATGGGTCAGCGTTCAGTTGTAAAATTCAACTAAAGAGTGTATTGAAACGACCTTCTAATGTCACTGATGACAACCGTTTCACTCTTGACAGATTTAGAAAAGATACTGCTTACACTAATATTCGTATATTTAAAGAGTGTAATATCATATATTATTATTGGAGAATCTGTTTAGAAGATCTAAATCTTTCTATAATGTCCTATATATAGGTTAATAGGATTAACGTAATACTCTCATCGTCATAAGAGGTCGTATATATTTAAACGCCTAGTTGTAGATCGAATAGTAGTTGAGCTCAAAACTCTACTCATTTTATTCACTTGTCCAACTGTCTCAATCTACGATACTATTGATGATCATATTTTGAGTATGGATTACACTAGTCGTCTGACTATTTATAATACTCACATCTTAATACTATTCTTTTACTTACTTACTTACACCTGTTTTTCCCAATGGAGCAGAGGCCACTGACCAGCATTCTCCAACCTACACTGTCCTGGATTCGCATTTCCAGTTCTGTCCAACTGTAGTTCATTCTTATCATGTCTGTCTCCATTTCTCTGCGTAATGTATTCTTTGGCCTTCCTCTTCTTCTTTAAACTTGAAGGTCACAAGTGAGGGCTTGTCTCGTGACTCAGTTGGATGCTTTCCTCAATGTATGTCCTATCCACTTCCACAGCTCCTTCCTGATTTATTCCTTCGCTGGGATCTGGTTTGTTCGTTCCCACAGTAGGTTGTTGCTGATAATGTCTGGCCAACGGATCCAAAGTATTTTGCGTAGACAACTGTTAATAAATACTTGTATCTTCTGGATGACGGCTGTGGTAGTTTTCCGAGTTTCTGCCCCGTACAGTATAACTGTCTTGACATTTGTATTAAAAATTGTAACTCCGGTGTCAGGTGAAAGTTGTTTGGAGTCCCACATGTTGTTCGATTGTAGAAATGCAGCCTTTGCTTTTCCCATCTGCGACTTCACATCTGCATCAGATCCATCTTGCTCGTCAATAATGCTGCCTAAATATGTAAATGCTTTTAGGCCCTTCAAGATATTTACATCAAGAGTGATTTGGTTGGCGCATTCGGAGAATCCTACTTTTTCTTTTGTGTATATTGAGACCGACTGCTGCTACACTAGTCGTCTTCTCTTGCATTTGTTGTTGCATGCATGGTAAAAGAGTCAGATCATCTGCGAAGTCTAGATATTCCTAGTTTTCTTAAATTTATATAAACACGTTTAGATTGTAACAATACACCCTTTCAGTATTGTAAATGAACATAAACTAACGTCATCAACTTAATTTTTTTTGTATGGTACTATTCGTTTTAATACACTCATCGTTAACTTATGTATATATATATATATATATATATATATATATATATATATATTTATATATATATGTTTATCATTTCGCTTCTAAACATCATTTCTCTTCTTGTCTGTAATGATGATTTTATTCTGTTCAATTTTTTATTTATATTTTATTTCCCTTTTGGATTTCTATTTTATCACTATGATGTATGAAAATGTAAAACTATAATTCATGGAGACTGTGTCTATTTTTTGCACATCGACCAATGTTAGAACACCATTAGAAAACTGGAAGCACTAGATTGCCGTTTCTTCTTGGTATCAGACTCATCAGCAGTACGCATTCACGACTCCTGCACCTCACAGGGCTCGAGACCAGTACCTTTGGTCTTGCGCGCGAACGCCTAACCTCTGGACCACCGATCCGGCTGGCATCCAAAAGTCCTAATGTCTAACTCTGATCAATCAACAGACTTTGCGTGACCTCATTCATGTGTCTTGGTTGTTTATTTGGCTTTTAGATGCTGATCTGGATCAATTTATCGTAACAGTAGAATTTCAACGTCGATTAGTTGTATCCTCATTGACAACTTGATATTATGAATTTTAACCAATCATTTACGTGTTTTTGATACAGTGAGACATTTGCCAAAAGCGATATAAACAAACTATTTTAAAACACGCCTAAACTATGTTTTTTTTCAGACTAAATAATTACCCTTTAATAAATTATATTCCTTTCAGTGAAATTGTTTAACACCTTGTTTTGAACTTTTGTTTGTCAGCATCTCAAACAACTTCATAATTTCAGTTCATTTCTTGCATTATTATTGGCTATTCAAGAGTTGCCTGAATGTCTTCTATCGAAAAAATCAAAACAAGTAAGTTCAATGTTATATAAACGATTTTTGAAAATGTAACATTGACATTGACATTTGAATTTTAATTGTTGAATCGGGGAATTGAAACACCTTAGCCGGAACTAGATTTCTACACACATCAAATACTTTAGAATGTGTGCTTCTGTTCATTGTCAACATTCCCGATTTCGGGAATATGTTCTTCAAAATTAAAATACACTTAGCTAGTTTATGAAGAGCTTCACTTAAACACTGAACTGGTTATAACGGAATATCGTTGAGTTGTGAGGATATGTGCTGAAAAGTCTCAAACTATAAGGCCGATGTCCATATATAAAACTTTCTCTTGTTCATATATTCTATGATCGATAGTTAACCACGTTAAAAATTATTTGTAAAAAAAGTGTTTCTTGAAACAATTTTCATGATACGGTTGTGAAGAATGTTGAATTACTTTTAATTCATAAAAATCGATGAATATTAAACCACCATTATAAATCTGAAAGCACTGAACATCCATCTCCTCCTGGTATATGACTTATCAGCAGTGCGTGTCCGCGACCTTCGCTCGTGAGAATCGGACCCAGGACCTTCGGTTTTGCTCAGGAACACCTAACCTTTAGACCATTAAGACAGCATCTAACGGTGTAAATGTATAAATTCGATCAATCCACGGTCTTGCGCCACCTCATCCACCACTGCATTAGATAAACACTACCTCACACCCACTTGACTGAAGGTTCTGGGTTTGATTCTCGCGAGCGTGAGTCGTGAATGCGCACTTCTGATGCGTATTTAAAACCTATTTATCAACTAAATATCTTCATGATGAATTATAAACATATTTTGAGATAAATTTTCCGAGGTTACAACATAAATTTCATTTGATACGAATTCATAATAACGTTATAAATAGTAGACATATTACTATAAAGTATATTTTGTAAAAGTTCACCGTCACAATTTAAAACTTGACACTAGCAACTGTTAGGATATTCAGCAAATATCCTAAGAGAACTATTTTTGGAAGTCTGATTCTGTTGGTCAATTCCTACTGGTCAATATTATGGTAGTCCTAACTGTCAATGTCACGTACTTCAATGTTGTTTCCTAATCGACCTAAATGTTAAAAATATGCATTAACTGTTAAGCTTATCATTCAGTCCATTCCTTCATTACTTCACTCCTTCTGTACTCGACCCCATAAACAACTTCATCTAACGATATATTGGAGATTTGGGAACAGTATTTGAGGTCGGTATTAGAATATCTGAATTTTGGTCAATCGGTAGGATTTCGAATAGCTCTACATAGCAGCATTATAACAGCAACATATCTATATAATAAATGTTATTGGGAAGTTGACAAGATGGCTTCTAGTTCCATTGTTGCTCAGTTTAAACAAAATAGTTTTGGATATTAAACGTTTGTTCAAATTTGACTTTGAATCAATGACAACAGTTGACGCATAAAATTACAATAAACTACTCTGTATTATTGACGAATCTTGAAATAGTAGTACATGAGAATATATATATAATTAGTAAATCATATTCTGAATAGCTGACTCATCTCAAAGTCTGATAAGTTTTTATAAATTTACCAAACTACATTTAGCAGCTAATCGATTGAAAGAGTATTGATTTTTGAATCCACTGAAAAAAATAGTAAACAAACTACGTTTTTGTTATGCTCGTCACTAGGTTTGCTTGAAACTGTTACGCGTTCACCTTAGTCGATAAACGAGAACGAGACAATGAACCAGCTTCTAGGAAGACTACTCTGATCTGTTGACACAAAAGAACTAACGAAAACGTCTTGATATAGCGTAGAAAGTATATTCTACAAACACCCAGCCAGCACAGAATTATCTCAAGCACACAAATAGCGTTTATTTAAACCTCCTAGAAACGTCCTTGGGAGGGTCGCAAAAATAGCAAACTAAAATAACACAGTGGCCAATCACAGCCAAGGCTTTTCCTGGTGGGAACTATGATCTCAAGGTCAACCACAAAATCCAAAATTAAGGCATTTATTTATCAACAGTTTTATTGTATTAATTTTAAATTTGTTATTCTTTTTTCAGATGGTTGCTAGTTTTTCATCTTACATGAAACCGCCAAATTTCGGTGAGTATCGAAAAGATTTGGAAACATCCGCCCTGCCATGCCTACCTTATTTAGGTTTGATATTTCAACAGTTAATACATTTACATATTGGCAATCCGATTCATTTGACGAATTCGCCGACAACACCAACAGCACCTTCGTCGTCGTTGTGTAAAAATGATATGGTACAATTTGATAGTGAATTCAACAAAGAACAACTACAACATGATTCTGCCTATCAAGCATTTAAACCACTTAAAATGATAACAGCTTCATCGAATCCCACTTCTAGTTATATGATGATTAATGTTTGGAGATGTTGGAAACATTATATGATATTAGGTTATTTTATTAAACGAAAAGAAGGATCAGTTGAAAAGTAAGTGTGAATTTATTTTGGTTCTTAAACAGTATTGTTAAGTCTGATACACTTGATCGTGTATATTGTGATCAACTGAAATCTATCACTTAAAAACAAATATTTTTTTAAACACACAACATTAGGATAGAGTTTTTCAAAGCATTTGGCTTGTTGTTACATATGCTCGTAAACACGTCAATTTGATATGCTCGAACTATTACGAGTCTACCTTAGTCGGAGAACGAGAGCAAGAATCGAGGATCCGGCGACACTACATGCTACTCTAATCCGACTGTCCTAACCCCTATATTGAATAAAAGAAGAAGACTTGATGTGAAGTAGAACCTGTATTCTACAAGCATTCAGAAAGTACGACGTCCGAGTCTAGAAGAGAATCAGGATCCCGGACTAAGGATGCGGGTCCTGGTCCTGGTCCTAAAACGTTACAGATAATGCGTATTTATACAGTTAGGTCGAACAGGAAAGAACATTGAAGTAAGTGACCTTGATAGCTAGGACGACCATAATATTGACCTATAGGAATTGACCAATAGAATTCGACTTATAATAATCTTAGGATATTGGATGAATGTCCTAACACTTGTACAGACTACAGGTTCCAAACTTTAACCACTCGTTTCACTGTTTATTTCAGGGTGATATCACTATCTGATAAAATACATTATATAGCCTAAGGAAAATATTCTTCTAACGAATAGTATATATGAGTGACTGAGATATTTGACTATGTAAAGATACACGGTTGATGGAATTTGGCTATCTTCTTTTCAATAAAGGATTTTATTGCCGGCTATTTTAACACACACACACACACATGTTCAAGTAGCTTTTTCTATGGTTCTTTTGGTATCGCATTTCGTGCGGACATTTCGTATGCGTTCATTTTCTGTTACTTCAATTGTCGGGAGAGGTATTGGCCTTCGGAGAATATTTTCTTTCATCATCATCGGTGGTCGAATGTCTTCTGCATGAGGACCTTTCAGCTTCGACGGAATAGTTTCAATAGCTAAACTGATTTCTTCCTTATTTCAAGGAGGTTTTATCTTAAGTGATGAGGTTGCTAACTCCATGCTCAATCCTCCTCCTTTATCCAGGATTGAGACTGGTAGTAGTAACCTTAGAAGGTCCCCCAGGCGGAGTTAAAGCGATATATTTTGTATGAATATATTCTGGAGTAGTTTCACTGGTTAAATAAAGTGACAATCTGATTTATAAATTCAAAGTCAATGTTGTCCAAGTTCCATTATGTTATGCTCGTCAACTAATATGCTTGAACTTTTACGAGAGCGAAGATAAATTATCCATTGACACGATAGGCTATTCTAATCTGAGCATCCTAAGCCCCTACTAACGATATCAAAAAGTCTTGATATGGAGTAGAAAGTGTATTCCAAAAGCACCCAGAAAATATGCGGTTTTGTGCAGAACCAGAAGCAGAGCATAAAACTGTACGGACAATGCGTATTTATATAGTCAGATCGACCGTGAATACTAACCAATAGGAAACAATATTTGAAATTATGTGAACTTGATTGTTTTGGACGACCTTGGATATTGACCAATAGAATTAGACTCACAAAATATTTTATATAGGATCAGTGGTCGAATTTTTTCTGCATGAGGACATTTCAGCTTCGACGGAAGAGTTTTAATAGCTAAAATGATTTGTTCTGATTAGCCTTTTTGAAGGAGCTTCAGTTTCAGCTGAGACACTAAAATCAGATATGGAAATAACTAAGATAATGCTCTAAGATATCTTAGACATCTTAGTCGGTAAACGAGAACGAAGACAAATGATCCTGTGACACCATAGGCTACTCTAATCCGAGCGTCCCAAGCCCCCACTATTCTACTACAAGCACCCAGAAAATATGCGGTTTTGTACAGAGGAAGCAGAAGGAGGATCATAAAACTTTACAGTCAATGTATATTTATACAGTTAGGTCGACCGTGAATACTAACCAATAGGAAACAACATTTAAAAATATGTGAACTTGATAGTTTAAGACGACCTTGGGTATTGATTGACCAATAGAATTAGACTCAGAAAATAATTTCTTTCGGATATTTAATGAATATCCTAACACATAAGATATCGTTTTCAGTACTTTTTTCTTTGAAAAACGACTACTCCACAACATTAAGTCATGTATTGTCGCCTTTTCTTTCCCCCGTAAACTATAAGCCTTCATCAATTTCCGCATAATCTTCAAATTAATCGTACAATTAATAATTTTCAAGATCAATTCAATGATTCAACATTAGATAAAGCCAAAGAACAATTGATTAGTATTGTTCAACGTTCAAAACGAAGCATTTTAATGAGGTGAATTTCCAAACAGAAACAAACAAACAATCTCTCCAATCAATGAATAAATTATTTTGTGTATATATATATATTAAATAAAAAGCAATAATTGAACTTTTCATTCCGAATCAATTGTTTCATTAAGTATTTGTATGTACATAACTGTACATAATAATAATAATAATAATAATAATAATAATAATAATTACTATATATTTTAATTGACAATTGTCTCATTTCATTATGGCGATTGGTTTTAATAAACACATCATATACGTGGTTAAATATGGTGTTGTTCTTGTTTTACGGATGACAATGAGAATTTCACTTTTTTTTGCCTATCTTAACTTGTTTGTTGATAGTTTTTAACAAAGAGAATATATGATTAAAACGAAGTTGTGAATTTTTTGTTTGGATAAGGAGAAATATTACAAATATAAAAATTGCACTGGATAGAGTTTCTTCTATGAACGACAAACAGTATAACTGTTATGCTTGCATGTAAACATGTCATTTTGATATGCTTGAATTATTAAGAGTTTACCTCAGTCGGTGAACGAGAGAGAGGATCGAGGATCTGACGACACGACATGCTAATCTAATCCGAGTGTCTCAACCCCTATATTGAATAAAAGAAGAGTGCTTGAAATGAAGTAGAACACGTATTCTACAAGCATCCAGAAAGAACGAGGTCCGAGTCCAGAAGGGAATCAGGATCCCGGATCATCAGGATCCGGGTCATGAAACCTTACAGATAATGCATGTTTATACGCTTAGGTCGAATAGGAAACAACATTTGGAGTATGTGACATTGATAATTAGGACGACCAAAATCATGACCAGTAGGGATCGACCAATAGAATTTACACGTACAAAATAATTCTTCGTAGGATATTTGGTGAATATCCTAACAATAACAATGTTTATGATAACTAGTTTGTGAAATATTGTGAAATATTTAACAAGTAAAAGAGAGGTATCGTTTTTCCTTGCAAAATGATTAAAACTAGTAGAGACATTAGATTATTTTGGTTCTGTTGATGTTCAAGGCATAGATGTTACTACATCAATAATTGAAGCATTCAAAAAGTTTATTCAAAAAAAGTGGCAAGATTGGTGAAGAAGAAGAACGGTCAGGTGAGAAACCAGCTGTGACACTGAAATCAGATATGGAAATAACTACGATAATACTCTATGCTATGTTCAAAAAGATTTTGGAAATACAAGTACCAACAGACTGTGAGGAATAATACCTCATCAATGTAGATCTTAGCAAGTAAGAGAACTAGACAATAATCTTCGACAGAGGATTGTTGGATAGGATGAAAGATTCAGTAGACACCTACCTTCCAGATCTGCAGGCTAGGTACCAAAGACGGTACCAGGACGGCCGTTTCGTCCTGGTACGGGACTCATCAGTGGCAATGCGCATCCATGACCCCTGTACCCTGCATGATTCGAACCCAGGACATTCGGTCTTGTGCGCGAACGCCTAACCTCTGATGAGTCCCATACCAGGACGAAACGGCGGTTCAGTGCTTCCAGGTTTCTAATGGTAGTCTAACATTGATCGATTCATGATTTTAAGAAATGTGTAACTTCACAACCCAAGTAATGCATATACAAATTAGTAGAAATGAGAAATTCTGACGTTTCACGACTTAGTGTAAGTCACTTTATTGGAGTAAGTAAATAAATAACCGAAATACATATTAACATAAGTTTAAATAGTATTGAGGAATCAGTAGAATAGTCAGTCAGGGGGTGTACGAAGCATTTGACTATGACCGATTTGGTCTCGAGCAATCTTACGAGTATGAGGGCGGTTGTCACTTCCAGGTCGACTACACCATGGAAGGGTACTCCTTGAGGAAGCTGAAAAGGAAGTTGGATAACTTTGCTCTGAACGACTAATGAGCCCGAGAGACAACTCCTTGAGGTCGGTCACGCATGGCCTTTTTATGGAAAGTTTACAGTGTTAGCTCTACTTTTGTTTAAAAGGCCTTACCGCCGGAAACCCGTGAGATAAGGTGGGGTGTGACATTTTTAAAGTCGACTTTCTCTAACCCCTTCATTCCTTTTGAAAAGGCAGCATCGCTACAGGTGCTGGTTGTCCTAGGGAAACACCTTACTGCTATCACACTCCTCTACAGTCAGCAGTATGACTTCACCCTCAGACCTTCAGTTGTTGGTTTTAGTGTTACTGTTACCTACCTGGCTTAGTAGAACCTAAAGGAAGATATGTTCCGGCCAATATAGCTCGGTTGGGTCATCACAATAGGTAAGCTGGATAACTACATCAAGATAGCACCGACGGTCGGGAAGCAGAATATTCAACTTACTTGAAATAAAACCATATCTGGTTATCTTCAGTATAAGTTTGTGTATATTATACAGTCTTATGGAAATCATGAACCTATTTAGGTTAGACAAGCGTTGAAAATCTAAAATTACTGTATGGTCGTTTGGGAGATCTCGTAAGTGTGCATTAATGACCTTGTCAACCTGGAGTCAAACGTAAGACCTCAAGTCTCTCGAGTAAACGCTTAACGTTTTAAACCCGCTGAGCTGTAATTCACTAATGTATACGTCTCGTTAAGTTATTTTGATATTTTTTCAACATCAATTTCGTCGTTTTTACAAAAGGATATACTGCAGTTACCTAATAGCTTCGTAGACTTTTATATTCTACAAAATTATTGGGTTATTTTGTGTGTAGCTACAGTGTTTTTTGACATAAGTCATCAAGGTTATACAGACGGCCTCTCCAATCAACAAGTATTTAGAAGTAATCGTATGTAGAGGTAAAAAGAGGCTTTGAAATGTTGAATATTTCAATCTGTAGTTCTGTTAATTTTAAGTTTCGTTATGTCATAGTGTGGTGCGCGCTACTTATAAGTAGTATATGACGTGAGCATCAACGTAATGTCTGGCAGCGGAAGATGGGGGGAAGATCAAGAAAGGAAGAGTTAAAACACAATGGAATTTGTATGAAACACATGAATAGTGACAATGGATTGATGTTTTGCAACAGGAACAGTCCAGTTCGATATGATGAACTGATATTTTGCAAATGAACAATTTACGATATGGTTTTCCGATTTTACTGAATAATTCTTTAATTTTCGTTAAATACAATTCGGTTGCCCCACCTGTCTTCTCGTTCACTACAATCGTAGTAAATTAAGACAATAGTACTATTCCAAATTATCGTATTTGGAATGACATTCAAAATTGAAACGTTTCATTTTTCTAATGATTTCTTATAGTTTTACAGAAAACAATTATTTTCTTATAGAGTTACTTTTATAAGTAAATTAGACTGTATGATGATTCATTCATTCTACGTGATGCGTGAATCGGCACAATATTATACAGACAATTCTTATTAGACACTTTGAATAAATTTAAATCCTTATACACATTATGAATGATTACAATAAATTTATTTAAGACATGGTTGTATAACAGTAACACTTTTCATTGAATTCGCGTCTAAACTGTCTAAAATGTTGGCAGTAATCTATGTCATGATTGACATCATTGTATATCACATGTAAAAAAGAAGGGTGTACACGTTGTTTGACAGGTTCATCAGACACATACACACGTTTTTATACACCTATGTGTGAGAGAGACATGATCAGTCTATACTTATCACTAAAATAGATCGTTTTCACAAATTTTACACTGATAGAATATAATTCAATTTTGGATTAAGATACTTATACTTTAGGTAGTCTAGTCAATAGATAGGCTAATCAATATAGGTGTCTAAAAGTAAGTGAAATTTGAAACGGTAAGTCAGCATAATGTAATTATGAAAATCTATTAAACTATAGTTATTCACTAAATAGTAAGTGAATTCTTTATACATTGACTATTTCCGCAAGGTTTTTCCTGGCTAGCGAATGTTAGTAAGGTTGATTTTAAATGGTATCGAGTTTCTGAATCCATCTCCAATACTCTCCCTTTGTAACACGTGTAATCAGCTGTCACTGAAGGGCGGATAAGATCTAAAATTACAATACATAAGGTTAGCTTAACAATTTACACCAAGAGAGAACACGAAGTGGTAGCCACGGCACTCTTTTATTTTAAAATTAAATAACGCGGAGTTTTTTTACAGAAAAGAGGTGGCTAGTTTACCAAAGTCTTATGAGTCATCCTGTAAGTTCAGAGCATGCAGGGCGCTTGTTCTTCAGCTTCCAAAGCGTTTATGTTTGATCGTCCTGAAATAGAACGAAAACAGAATGGGTTAGCAACATCATAGATGGTGATTTTGACTTCGTTATACCTTTATCTAGCCCTTGAACTGTTAGTAATCCTCAAGGAACTTCAGTGGTAGTTAGGTGTTCAGCAGTCTGGTACTTGTCAGTAAAGGATGTATCTTATCTTAAGGGGTTTGATGTTTGTCATGAGATGTGAAACCGCACCACTCAGCTTTGGAATTTAAGATGTTGCCAATGAGCTGTTTGGAGCACAACTTACTACCTATACAGCTGAAACATTTACATTGATTAAAAACTTAGTAGCGACTAATGTCATAAATTGGTTTCCGATAAACCAAAGGTTCCATAATTGACTTCAAATTATCATCGGTCATTTTGAGATTTAGGATATCCCTCAGTCAGTAAGTTAAGACGTAGAACTTCGTACATTCATACATTAGTTCAAGTTACCATACCACATTAGTACAGAGATGCAAATGTCAATTTAAATCCCATGGTAGTTGAGGTAGTAGAAGTATTAGCAGTAATCAGAGAGATTACGGTTCGAAGATATGATTCAAAAAGTAGAATGCAGTAAAATAAACTTAAGAAGAGAAAAATAAAATTGATGAGGAATTCTAAAGATTAGAAAGTGAGAGAACACAAAGAGTGGATGTACCTGAGCTACTGTAAACGATTGTGAGCAATGTCATTCAAATTTTCTTACCACCGATGACTATTACTTCACGGGCCTTAACCAGGTAGTCTTTCTTCATCCACTAACATGACTCAATCAAAATGTCAGTGATTTCGTTGATTTGTGCCATGTTTTGAATTGGCCGCCGCTAG